AGAAGGTGTGGCTTCAGGACAGGGAGGCTTAGAGGGCTGGGCTGTAATTCACCAGTCAGGCCTTGTCGGTCACTCTTCGTAAATGCTCACTCTTATCTATCAGGAAAGCTTATAACACCTATGGGGTCAGTTGGGATTCTTTGGGCCGGAACCTGCAGCAGATTCCTCTCTGGCCTTGGGATACTTTCTCTCAACACTGTCATCAGCTCTCTGAGACACCCAATAAATGAGCCAGAGCAGTATTCCCAAGTGTTTATATGCTATCTCCTAAATCCAAAGAGGCCTACCAAGCTCTGCTCCTCTTAGTGCTCTATGCCTTTAGTATAGTGGGCTTGTTTGATGTTCCGTGCAGTGTCCAGACATAAAGGCCCCTTTGGGGTATCCTGAGAGAACTGAAGAGTTAACATAATCCTGAGGCAAGATAGTGAATGCAGACCACTTTCCTTCTCAGGTGAGTGTGGACTGTTGCAATCCTTCTTCTTGATGTGGACTGAGAGAACACATTTGCCTGATCCAAGGTCACATGTAAAATGCTAGAGTCTGTGTTAAACTATTCTAGCAAAGATATGACATATGCAAAATAGCAGCAGCAGTGGGGCTACCCCTTGAAGTTTATGGGGGTCCATTGCCATCTGCCATGGTATATCTGGCTTTCCAGGATACTATCTCCTCCATCCTTTAAGTCTTTAACAGTGTCACCAGAGGGACACCTGGGTGGCTCAGTCGGTTAAGCAATCTTGATTTCAGCTTAAGTCATGATCTTTGGGTTGTGAGATCAGAGTGAGCATGCAGCCTGCTTAAGATTCTCTCTCTCTCTCCCTCTCTCTCCTGTACCACTTCCACTGGCTCACATGGTCTCTCATTCTCTCAAAACAAACAAGCAAAAAGAGTGCCATTACACTATGCCATTTCATCTGGGATGTTGTATTGTTTCTGATTTATCATTTTGGCTAGAGGTGGGGAGGCAGCTATACAGGCTTCCTTTTAGCCTTTCTTACCAAAATGAACCTTATTTCATAAATCAGGGTATCATTATGAAAGTTCTGTCCACTTCTAAGTGCCATATATACATTCCAAGTATGTGTTCAGAGACCAAGGAGTTGACCACAGGGTGAGGTCAAGAACTCAAATGACCTACTGTGAGATGGACATGGATGAGTACTTCATTTGTCACTTAGCATGTAGCTCTCAACTCTAATAGATGGGCCATGATTGCATATTGGGTTCCCAAGTATTACTCTCAGCCATATTCTATATGCAAGAGACCTCAAAAGTGCTGGATATTGGGATGCCTGGGTAGCTCAGCGGTTGAGTGTCTGCCTTTGGCTCAGGTCGTGATCCTGGAGTTCTGGGATTGAATCTCACATCAGGCTCCCTGCATGGAGCCTGCTTCTTCCTCTGCTTGTGTCTCTGCCTCTCTTTCTCTGTGTCTCTCATGAATAAATAGATAAAATCTTAAAAAAGAAGAACTGGATATTTTGTGGGTTCCATTGGCCAAGGATTAGAGGAACATCTGAAAGTCCGATCAAGGGTGGTGGGAGGACTGCTTATGTTTCCTAGCACAGGAGTGTATCCCCTCTCTGGGATGGAATGGTGGGATCCAGGTTGTATCCCTGTTTCTAGGAGCCATTGTTGGCAATTCATTGTCATCCAGTAATCAAAAGATGTCTTTTTGTCTCCTACAACAGCTCTGACCCCATTGGTGGCCTTCTGTCACCTAGGGACCAGAAGTCTCTTGAGGGTTTGCCTTAAAAAACTCGCAGTTCCTGCGTCTCACATAGAATTGAATCATAGCAGTGTCCCTCCTGGGCCTGCTGCTCTCTGGCATTGAAAGCTACTTTTGGTTTGGTAATGTGACCTTTGGCTTTTCCTTCTGTTTCTGGAGAGGAAGAGTTAAGGAGGCTGCTGTGAATAGAATGGGGGATGGCTTTAGAACTTTCAACCAAAGACATGGGACAGGGAAGAGGTCAAAGGACTCGATGGAAGCTTCCTTTTGGGATTGTGCGGATCCTCTCTGATCTATTAGATTTACTCTCCATCCTTTGTGGCAAACCTTTGTGGGCTACTTCAAAAGCCCTCTTGTCCTCTGTCCTTCAGTTGGGATTGGCCAATGGGAGCCCTGGCAGGATTGGGGAGCAGAAGTAGAGTGAAATGGTAGAAGTTTTTCACACAGTCCTTCCATGGGAATCCACTTTGAATTGGTTGGCTGTGGGCCCTTCTGCAGCCCATAGCTCCTGTCCCGAAGCTCCAGATCCAGCTAGTGGAGATGGAGCTTCAGCTCTCCTTCTGTGTTCCAGTAACCACTCCTCCCCAGCCCCCTTCATGCCACAGGGATACTGGTGGCTTCGTACCGTTGCCAACTCTGGGGTGTGTAACCATTCCCTATTGGTTTCCTATTCACTTCGCACATAGAGCTGTCATTGTACTTTTCCTAAATTACCCTGGGTGACCGTGCCATCTGTCACTGCTGGGACCAGACAGACAGACCCTTTGAGGATAAAGGCCAAAAGAACACGTTGATGTGGCTGTTTCACAGCCCAGAGGTGGGGCCAGCAGTGGAAAACTTGCAGTTGGTCATGCTGCACTTTTCAGAGCCCGCAAGCCCAACCTAGATAAGCTCATGTGTGAGATGAATATCGGAGACGATTGTCATCATGAAAACCATCATGAACACTAGCAAAGATCTCAGTTTTTTGGTTGCTACTCCTGCAACATTTCCTAAGTGATGAAATGAACTTAACGGTAATATAGCCAACTCTTCTGGGGAGCCATGGTGTTTCATAGCCCTAAAGCCATGTAGGAGAAACAAAAACACAAAACTCCAAAGGCTTAAAGTATCCAAATAAATTGAAAATATTGAAAGATTGAGTAAGGACAGAAGCCTTTCATCATTTAATCAAAAACATAGACTCAGTAGGGGCACCTGTGTGGCTTAGTTGATAAACGTCTGACTCTTGGTTTAGGCTCAGGTCATGATCTCAGGGTCTTGGGATTGAGCCCCGAGTTGGAGAGCAGGGCGGGGTGCCCATGCTCAGTGGGGAGTGTACTTGTTCTTCCTCTCCCTCTGCCCCTCCCTTGCTCATTTTCTCAAATAAATAAATCTTTTTAAAAATATTTTATTTATTTATTCATGAGACACACATAGAGAGAGAGAGGCAGAGACATAGGCAGAGGGAGAAGCAGGCTCCACGCAGGGAGCCCGATGTGGGACTCGATCCCGGGACTCCAGGGTCACGGCTTGAGCTGAAGCTAGACGCTTAACCATTGAGCTACCCAGGTGTCCCTAAATAAATCAATCTTAAACAAACAGAAAAGCAGACAAAACGTAGACTCAGTAAATAATGGCCCCAGTCACAAATCACATATTTCAGGCAGAGATCTGTTAGCTTCCTCTTAATCTCTCTTGGCCTGGTAGAGGGATGTTCAGTCAAGGGATATTTTACAGTGAGATGAGGAAAAGTCTGGGGTCTTCCCAGGAAAAACAAATCCTGCATTACATTACACTGAAGTTTTGAATTTTCCCACATGATTGTTTTTGAAGACAAATTTTTAATGAATTAAAAATATGCAATCATACGAATTTACCATTTAAACTTTGTTCCACAGCCAGGATTCTAATTTTTCAATAATTAACAATGCTGAGATTAAAATCTTTATTCATTAATTTTTGTATAAGACATTATCTCTGATTATGTCTTTTTTTTTTTTTTAAAGATTTTATTTATTTACTCATAGAGATGCAGAGAGAGAGGCAGAGCACAGGCAGAGGGAGAAGCAGGCTCCATGCAGAGAGCCGAACATGGGACTCAATCCAAGGTCTCCAGGATCACACCCTGGGCTGCAGGCGGCGCTAAACCGCTGAGCCACCGGGGCTGCCCTCTGGTTGGTTATGTCTTAAAGACGGATTGCTAGAGAGAACTCACTTAGGGCAGGGACTAACTAGACCCTCAGAGGCCAGGAGTGCTATCAGCCTCAAGCTTCTGTTGTACCCATCCCTGTCCTGCCCTGGTTTCTTTCCTCCAGCCAGTCCCTCAAAAGGGAAGCCTTTGTGCTGAGTAGACTCTAGGCTTTTGACTTCCTACTGGTTTGGGTGCAGCCCTTGGGGCTGGGTGTTGCTTATGCAGAACTAGTGATGCTGTCCCTCATCTTATCTGCTCTAGCTCTCTGTTTTGCAGCAGGGAGTGAGAGACAATCTTTGCATCTCAGATCAAAGCTCCACAGATGGTAGATCTTCTCTTATCGAGATGGACTGTGAGGGGGGCTCTATGTGGCACCAACTGCCTTCCCAATATCTCATATTTAAACATTATCGTGTATTGGAGCTCCTGGGTGGCTTATTTGGTTAAGCATCTGCCTTTGGCTTGGGTCATGATCTCAGAGTCAGGGATCCAGCCCCACACTGGGCTCCCTGCTCAGTGGGGAGCCTGCTTCTTCCTCTCCCTGTGTCCCTCCCCAACCCCTACTCATGCTCTCCCTCTCAAATAAATAAAATAAAATAAAATAAAATAAAATAAAATAAAATAAACCAGTGGTTCTCACTGAGGATGATTCCTGCTCCCCTGCACCCTTGGGGAATACTTGGTGATGCCTTGAGACACTTCTGGTTGGCATAACTTAGTGCAGAGAGGTGCTACTCCTGGTACCTAGTGTGGAGAGGTCAGGGCTGCTCTAAACATCTAATATCTTTGCTTGTGATTCACATTGACCTTAGTGATTCTGAATCTTACTAGAGATAAATCCAAATTAGTATAGAGTTGATGATTATAGTAAGGATCTGGTGTAATGTCTTGTTTAAGTTGAAAATATGGATCCTGCCTCCTCAGGGATTCCCTCTCTCTTTCCCTAATTTTTCTTCATTGTTTTCTCTCTGTTTCTGTGTCTCTCACATTCCCCACCCACCCCCACTCCCACTCCTTCCAAACTTGTAGGCTGCTTTAGGCTGGGGGCCGGTTGCTTTGTGCCAGGAGAAAGGAGTGTCAGAGAGAGGACACACACTCAAGTCTGGAAGCTGGATCTTTATTGAGGTTTAATGAGGACTCTGTGACCCGGAGGAGCCCTCTTGGGTCTGAGGGATGTAGTGGGGCCTCAGTAGAGACTAGAGGCAGCTCCAGAGTAAGTGGCACAGAAAGCCTGCTCAGGTCTGGTTCCAGATTTCCCCTCAGGCTTGCCCAGGCTGCATTCAGGCTTTATTCTGCTTCAGAATCTTATTGATCCAGGGCCGGTAGTGGGAGATTCGGGTGAAGACAGCAGGGGGCTTTGCATCATTCTGCCCATAGGACACAATTCCCTGGGCTACCCCAGCACACAGAAGAGGGCCCCCTGAATCTCCCTGTGGGGCAGAGAGAGAAAGAGGGAGAGAGAGAGCACAGAAGGTCAGCAGAGAAGTCATCCACTTCTGCCTGTGGGTTCCAATTCCGAGTCACAGTGAGACCTCAGGTCAGACCCAGCAGCCCTGGCTCCTCATGGGGTTATATGTCTCAGTGTGATGCCCCTTCTCCCTTTCCTTCTTGCCACCCTGTGTGCCCTGTGCCGCAGCCTGGAGGGATGGTTAGAGTCTGCATGGGTGGGGGGATAGATCTGGAGAGGGGTGATTCCAGTTCCATAGGCCTATGATCTGAAACCCTGTGGCCACCTGACAGTCTACCCACCCCCTCTTCTTCCAGGAGACATTCTGGACCCCAAACAAACAGTGATTTATGGAAAAGAACCCTTGTTGGAGGATTACCTTAAATGCAGATTTTGTCTTCCTGGGATTGCCAACACACAGCTGGAGGTTGTGGTCAAAAGCCATGTAGTGTCTACAGGCCTGGGGGTCCATGAGCCTCAGCTTCACCTCTTGCAGAGTGTCAGAGCCTGATCCATTCACTTGTCTTTTTCCCCAGCCAGCCACCCGGCACATTCTCCCAGGTGGGACGAAGTTGAACTGGGGTGAGAGGGGGAGGGTCCCCACAGCCAGGGTCAGGTTGGCCTTCTCCTTCAACTGTGAAGGGCAGGAGGGGCTGTCAGTGCCAGAAAGGGCTGATGCGGTAGGGTAGGTGGAGGAAATTGGGGGAGGACAGGGCAAACCGTTTCACATTAAAACTAGCCCTCCGGGGGTGGGGTGGGACTTGGTGGGGTTGGAGTCCATAGGCAGGTTGAGGAAACTTCAGGGCACTGGGGACCTGAAAGAGAAAACTAAGAGAATGGGAAGTGGAGGAGGGGGAGAAAGAAGTCATCACCTTCAGTAGCATGATGTCATGGCGAATAGTAAGGTCATCATATTTTGGGTGAGGGAATTGTTTTATGACCTCAAGCTTCTGCCACGTGTCTTCTTTCTTTTGTATGTTATGGGCTCCAAGGGTGACCATTATGAACCTGTTGAGAGAGAGAAGGAAGGACAAGGAGAAACAGTGATGGTCTAGGGTTCCTCCTGGGATCTGCCCACTGAGGACTGGAGTCTATCACAGGGGTTACTGGACTCTACCCACCCCTCCTTTCCCTGGGCCACATGTGGCATTTGGGGGGTTAGGTTTCACTAGGGAAATGGAGACAATATCCAGGACCCTCAGGAATTGCTGGGAACCGAGTCGCCCATGGGGGATCCAGGAGCAGGGTTAGTGCTTTCTAATTCAGGGGGCCTTATGTGAGGGCCAGCCCTCTGAGAGATATCAGAGGAAAGGGGGAGGTGGTGGAGTTTCCCTGGTAGACCCTGTTCTCTGCCTCCCATGAAAAGGATGGGTCAAGTCCCTGAGAACTAAAGGCCAGCTTTCTTGGAAAGGGCAGAGAGGAAGTGGCCTGAAAGTCACATGTCTCATATGTTGGGGTCGAGGAGAAGGGAGTTACTTTTAGAGGAGGGACACTTGGTTAGGGGCTCCTTTTCCTTTGTAGGGTTGCTGAGCTCGCAGTGATTGAAGATCAGGGCATCCATCAATTATGGGACCAATTCCCTTAAATTCAAGTCTTGCCTCTCCCAGTCCCAGGAGCCCCTCCTCAGGCTGCCTAAGTGTGCATCCCTCACTGCTACCCTGCTACCCTATCCCCCTTTTGGAGATAAACAGGACCCTGTTGTGTCACCTTCCTGCACAGTGAGCAGCCGTCAGTACGAAGTTCCGCCTTATCAGGAAACCACCACAAGACGCCAGGTGATTCCGGAGAGTGAGGATTTCCAGGTGGGCCATGTAAGGGCGGGAGTGTGGCTTGGACTCTGTGCCCCCGATGATCTCCTCTGGAACAGAGAGCCCCTGGGCCTGAATACAGAGAATGCGTAGGCTGGGCTGGAGTTGGGAGGGCTTCTTTTGAATCTCATCCTCACCCTGTGCTCGGCCCATCATCACCCTCAGGATGCTTTAGTATCTGGTCTCCCCACCCACAACCTCCCATATAAATTCTCATTCCTTCTTCTGGGTACAACAGCCAATCTGGCCTCTGTTGCCATTTAGGCATTTTCTACCTCAGATTTCTCCTACACCAAAATTGCCCAGGCCTTAATGCTCCTTCGTCACCGTGTAGGGCAAGCTCCCCGGGTTCTTGTCTTGACCTTCTCCACAGGTTGTGTGAGCAGCGTCACAGAATGGCCACAGATAAAGTGTAGCCCCGAAGCTCAGAAGATAAAGAGAACTTAGGGCCTTCTACACAGTATCTCACAGTGAGAAGATATCCCTCTTCCTTTCACCTGTTCTGGGCTTTCCCCTAGTCAGTGGGGTTCCTTGTCCCTGGGAACTACCACAGGCTACAGAGATTGGGTGGATATATCCCAATTGGAACATCACTCTGGACTCCTACAGAGAGATCCTGCCACCTTGTTTATGAGTCAGCTATATTCAGACTAAACTTGGTTTTGGGGTGCTGATCCTGCCGTTTCCAGGGGGAAGGATCCCAAGACTCACCAGCTTCTGCTCTGGAACATAGGAGAAGGAGCAGCAGGGTGAGAGGAAGACAATGCATCTTCTCAGTGAGGCTGCCCTGGGCAGATGCTGCTTCTATTTTCTGGTCTTGGGTTTTATAACTCCAGCAATGAGCCAAGGGCTGGGCTGGTAACCACAGGAACTATGTGGTCATGTTTTTCTTCTCCCATATTAGGCTATCTTTCTGATCAGATGTTTCTTCCAAGTTACACTCTGTTTTGCTGGAGGTGAAGTGGAGTCCTGACCCCGAAGTTCTGGCTTCCAGGATGAGCTTTCAACCATGGTGCCTTATCTGGGACGTAGGGGGTGGAAGGATCATGTCTTTCCCAGTTAGGGCAGTTTGTTAAAGACTCTTCAGAAATATGGGTAGGGAGAGTCCTTGTGTGGAACATCCAGAAATATATGCACTTTTTAAAAAAGATTTTATTTATTCATGAGAGACGCACAGAGAGAGGCAGAGACATGGACAGAGGGAAAGGCAGGCTTCTCAGAGGAAGCCAGATGTGGGACTCGATCCCAGGATTCCAGGATCACGATCTGAGCCAAAGGCAGATGTTCAACCACTGAGCCACCCAGGTGCCCCGAAACATATGCACTTTTATGGCCGAGAGTAGGAAATGCATTTTGAAGAAGGACCCAATGTCCATTTATATGTTTGTGTGAGTACATGAGCACAAATGTACACACATACAAATGAATCAAGTTTCAGGAAACAAAATTTATCCTTGTCAAGTGCAGTGCTTTCAGTTTCTATTTCATTCCATCCCACTCCACGTTAAAATATGAACAGCACCCCACTTAAAGGATGATTACCTGCAATTTGAAAAACATTCATCTGGATCTCTTGCTTCCTCTGAACCAAATGTTTACTGGCATAAGAAAGATCCTTGGAGAGTAGATGAAGGAAGGGAACGTAACCTATGGTAGGACTTTACACACATCATCACAAGAGTAAATGGCTTGGAATTAGCATTTTTTGAGAGCCTATGCATCATTTATTGTCCCAACTCTTAGATATATTTACATAATGACTCTATGAAGTGGATATTATTAGCTCGGTTTTATGGATTGGCTATTGAGTATTATGTTCAGAAATAGATTTTCCTGATTCCAAATCCAGAGCCCTCTCTGCTCTGCCACCAAAGAGAAACAGAGTCCCACTAGTGGGGATGTACATGTAGAAGAGTGGTTTGCTCTGGGAGCCTGGGCTTTTCTACTCCCATATTATAATTCAAACTTATTTTTCTGAAATAGAATGTATACAGATGTCAGTATCTGAGGTTTTACTCTTTTATTCCACAATAACCTCAAGAAGTACCTTTTTTTTTTTAAGATTTTATTTATTTATTTATTATTTTTTTTTAAATTTCTTTTTTTTAATTTTTATTTATTTATTTATGATAGTCACAGAGAGAAAGAGGCAGAGACACAGGCAGAGGGAGAAGCAGGCTCCATGCATCGGGAGCCTGATGTGGGATTCGATCCCGGGTCTCCAGGATCGCGCCCTGGGCCAAAGGCAGGCGCCAAACCGCTGCGCCACCCAGGGATCCCCTATTTATTTATTCATGAGAGACACAGAAAGATAGAAAGAGGCAGAGACACAGGCAGAGGGAGAAGCAGGCTCCATGCAGGGAGCCTGATGTGGGACTCGATCCCGGGTCTCCAGGATCACGCCCTGGGCCAAAGGCAGGGGCTAAACCACTGAGCCACCCAGGTATCCTGCCCTCCCCCAAGAAGTACCATTACTGTCACTTTACAAATGTAGGATTGAGGCTCAGACACATTAACATGAACAAGATCATATAACTCATAACTGTCGTAACTAGGTTTCAAGTACATATCTGTTGTTTTCTCCAGGTTGGAGGAGCAGTGAGTCCAGGGAAGAGATGGATAACAGGCATAGTGTCATTTGTCTTGAAGATTTATTATATTTTATTTATTTATTTGACAGAGAGAGAGAGAGAGAGAGAGAGAGAGAAACAATCACGAGATGCTGCAGAGGAGCAGATTCCATGCTGAGCAGGGAGCCTGACATGGAGCTTTCTCCCAGGACCCCAGGGTCATGACCTGAGTCAAAGGCAGATGCTTAACTGACTGAGCCACCCAGGTGCCACTCTTTTGGAGATTCAGAAGCCATTTAATTCAGAGATAAGGAATCACAGGGAAAACATACCTTCCCTAAATCATCCTACTATGCCCTTGGTCTTAGCTTGAGCTTGTGACTGGGGGGATCTGTTCCTTAGTAAGTATTGGTTAGGTTCTCAGTTGCCCCAAGCTCTGCTTCTCTGTAGGATAGTTATATTTACACCTATCTGTGACATCTGATGAATCCCTGTACTAATTTTTCATTCTCTTTATCTGCCAGATAAAATATAGAATGCCCAGGGGTGCCTGGGTGGCTCAGTTGGTTGAGGGGCTGACTCTTGGTTTGTTTGTTTGTTTGTTTGTTTCTTTTTTTTTAAAGATTTTATTTATTTATTCATGAGAGACACAGAGAGAGGCAGAGACACAGACATAGGGAGAAGCAGGCTCCTCACAGGGAGCCCCATGTGGGACTTGATCCCCGGACTGGGATCACACCCTGAGCCAAAGGCAGATGCTCAACCATTGAGCCACCCAGGGATCCCTGACTCTTGGTTTCTCCTTGGGTCATGATCTAAAGGTCCTGAAATAGAGCCCTGCATCAGGCTCTGTGCTCAGCAGGAAGTCTGCTTGAGGATTCTCTCTCTCTCACTTTCTCTCTCTCTCCCTCTGCCCCTTTCCCTGCTCACACTCACGTTCTCCCTCTCTCAAATAAATAAATGAATCTTTTAAAAAATACAAAGGGGCACCTGGTGGCTCAGTGGTTGAGCGTCTGCCTTCGGCTCATGTCATGATCCCAGGATTCAGCCCTGTGTTGGGTTCCCCGCGCATCAAGCTGCTTCTCCCTGTCCTGACTGCCACTCCTCTTGCTTGTGTTCTCTGTCTCTATCAAATAAATAAATAAATAAACAAACAAATAAATAAATAAAAATCTTTTAAAAAATACAGAATACCCAGTTAAGTTTGTATTTCAGATGAACAAGAAACCATTTATTTTGGTATAAGTATATCTCAATATTAAATGAGACAAAATAAGATAAATTGTTTATCTGAAATTCAGATTTATCTGGGAGTCCTGCATTTTTATTTGCTAAAGATGGCAACCTTACTCTGGGCATTCTACCATCAGCAGAACAGAGGAGAATCTGGACCTGCAGAAGTCCTGTATCAGTTGCACCCAAAATCAGAGGAGTAAATAAATGAAGCATTTCTAGTTTTCACTCTTGGAGTTAGAATTTGAGAGGTAGGGCTAGTGTGATAGTTCCACGGTGTTCCCAAGGCTCAGGTGCACTAACGTTTAACTTCTGTTTCACCTGTATTGGCTGAGGGCAAGAGACTGGAATAGGTATAGCTCCGGTCAAGGGCCAATTTCAGAAATAATGAGGCCACTCTCTGTCCATATTTTCTTCCTTGCTCTGTCCTGTGTGTATTTTTTTTTGTCCTGTGTGTATTTGAATATTCAAACCAATTTCCTTTTTCTCCTTCCTCTACCTTCCTCCTGCTATTTTACATATCGTATGCTGTTGGTGGTGAACCTTCGGGTTAGCCCATGATCTATAGAATATCAATTTGGTGGGGGGAGCTGACTAAATAGAGGGGGAATGGGTATCACCTGGAGATCCTATAGTTGGAGCTGAAAGCAGTAGGTGCTGAGACTGGATTATTTCAGTTCTGGGGGAAGTTGACCTCATTTTCCTTTGTATAAGAGATAGGATTACGTTCAATGGGAGCACTTTTGTTTTAGGAAGGTGAAGTATGGAGAAGGAGTGTGCATTCATGTTGGGCAGCCAAGTGATGGAGTGTAGCAGACATTTGCCATGCATGTAGTGGATCCTTAGTGTCTTGAACATCCTTCTTACGTTAGGGAACTCCCAACTATGATTCTTGCTTTCCTAACTAAGGTGGATTCCGTAAACTTCCTTTCCCCAATCTTGTGACTGAGACTGTCAATCAGATGAGTAGGTATACAATTTGATTTATAAAGGTGTAAACTGGGGGAGCAGGCACCATTGGAATTAATTTTTCTAATGAGTGTGAGTGGCCGAGGGTTTGGTTTTTGGGGAAAAATTAGTTATGGTTCATGTGTCTGGTGCTGCCTACAGGGTCTGAGTCAAGCCAATAGACTGTGAGGCCTCTCTTGAACAATCCTGTGTTGTGGTTTGCCATTGTTTCTGGCAATGTGGACTCCATATCTGATTCCACAGCATCTGAGGAAAATGTTGACTTTGTATAAGGAAGAATTTGCTAATAATCTGTTGCTACAACATGAATGTGTGGGCACTGGAATTAAGCGATTTCCCCATTGCTAAGGATAGCAAAGTAGAAGTTGGACAGTCTTGCTTAAGATTCATGGTTAGTGGGAGGGAAGGCGTTGGGGATGATATAAAAGCACTGGCATTTAATGATGGCAGTGTTCCTTAGCCACTATGAGGCCGAGGGATCATCTCTTCTCTGAGTTCCTGAAGCATTGATCACCTGTGCCTTTATTCATTTTGACATTCAAGGCATCCAACCAGCTTTGCAGTTCGATGGGAGAGCTTGAGTCCAGCTTCTGCCACTTAAGTGTCTGTTTGACCTTAGGAAAGTTCCTGGAGTTCTCAGACTTAGTAAATGCCCCTGTAAAATATGAAGAATGATGTGAAACAGGGTTTTGGGAGAATTAAATATGGTGTTAAATGAAAAATACCACATGGTTTGTCCTTAAGAAACATTGATTTTTGTCCCTTTGTGTTATATTATCTTGTGCTGCCGTGTAGCCATTTGATGGGTTGGTGGTGTGAATGTCCTCATGGAGGCTATTTATCTTTTCCTCTAAATCCCCCTAAACATAGTACAGGTTAATCAGATTTACCAGACTTCAGTCACATTCTGCTTTGTATAGTCTTGTTTTATTCTTTGAACTTTCAGCTGCCATGTTCTTTCTTTCTTTTTTTTTTTTTTTAAGATTTTATTTATTCATGAGAGACACAGAGAGGCAGAGACAT